CACTCGCCGACGAGTCAGTCCTCGACGAGTCAGTCCTCGACGAGTCAGTCCCCAACGAGTCTGTCCCCGATGAGCGAGCCCTCGACGAGTCAGTCTCCGAGGAGCCAGTGATCGATTCGGAGGACCCGGTTCCTGAGGAGACAACGACTCATACTCCTGGCATTGGCGAAGACTCTGGCGGCCAGAAGCGGGACGCAGGCGAGCTCGACGAGGAGAACCAGGGGAAACGTCGCTCCAAGCGCATTAAGCGTGTCCCTGGAGCTACAGACGAAGACCATGCTGGGCGGAGAACCAGCACACGAGCCTCATCGAACGCGGAGAACGTGCCGGTCACTGCGGACAAGGGCAAGAGCCGCAAGGACTCGAAGGGTAAAGCGAAGGGTAAGAGTGCGGCACAATCTGTTTCGACTTCAGCCGGGCGAGTGCTACGGAGTCGCGCTACTTCGGATGCCGGTAGCGCAGTGTCGGGGCGAGCAACGGGCGGCCAGCGTGGCAGACGCGATGTACGCATGAAGAAGTAAGTAGGCTTGTATGTACAACAAGTGATGGTGTACTCTACTTGAATCGTAATGTATGTTGCATGACTATTTTGTTGATTTGTTTACATGGATAATCCATTGTGATGATCCACGGGATGATCCAGTGTGATGATCCACGGGATCATCCACTGTTCTGCAGTAACTAGTGCGTATGGAAGATGGAGGGTGTGGCGCAATGGGTCTGTGTAGATGATCCTGGATTTATGCTAATAAACATGAGTGGATCATCACGGGGAAATGCGGTCCCTGCAATCGCCGTCCGCAACCTGTGAGCCGAAACTGTAGCCCCGTTTACCCCGCACATTCAAAACGAACTCATCGACTCCCCTTGCCCCTGGCTTGGAAGCTGTCACGCCAATCAAACATCGAGCATGATCATCTCGAGCTCTTCGTGTCTCATAGAGACATCGCGCGCGTAAGGTCCATGGCATAAGTAATGTGAGGAGCTGTCGCGCAAATATAAATACCGTGCAAGGTTCAGCAGAAATGCTCAGCGAACAGGAAGACCCTTCCTTGCGCGCTAGTCGACTCTTCTGCAAGCCCACAACGCTCCGACAGACTCCAAGCAGCAAGCATGGTGAAGACGTTCTCCGTTCTGCTCGTCGTCCTGGCGGCTGCCCTGAGCAGCGCTGCGCTCGCAATGCCCTCTTACAATGGTACGTCATGGCACACATCATGCAGGACTGTGCTGACTGCTCTGAGCAGTCCGCAGGCAGCTTGTCTCCGGGAACGGAACCGGCGCGGACGATGACAGTATCTGCCCTGGCTCCTCCCCAACGGTGGTGTCGACGTCCTCGTTCGTAGTGGGAAACACGACTCTGGAACTCACCAAGTTCTCCTGCGGCGCGGCTACACCGACCTCTCCATTCTCTTCTGCGCACAAGGGCGGAGGGGGCGTCCTTGGCTGGCTAGATGGCCTCCTCTGGTGGTTCTTCCCAGATTGCCCGCCGGTAAAGCCCAGCCCGCCAAAGCCGCCCAACAAGACAACGACGAAGACGGTGACGAAGGCGACGACTGCTACCTCCACGGTGACCTCGGTCTCCGTGAGCGTGTCCACGACCATCTCCACGGGCACGGCAACTGTGACGGAAGTATCCACCGAGACGAGCGCGACGACCATCGTTGAGAGCGAGACGGAGACTGCAACTGCTACGGTCACCGAGACGGTCACCGCTGCAAGCCCGAGTTCGACTGCCGCGAACGTCTGTGGAGAGATATGTGAGTCGTCGGCTCGCTGATAGCTTGGGTAGAGCCTTACTAAAATCATCTCAGGCACGACGGTTTGCGGGGACGTGGGCCGACTCCCGCCTACCACCGACGATTGCCAACAGCTCGTGAACACGGTGACTATTCTCAACGGCCAGATAGGTGCGTTGCGTTGATCGTTCGACAATGACAATTCCCAAACCGAAACTCGTTGCCCAGATCCGAACTTCACGGTCGAGTCCAACCACGTTCAAACAATCTCCTTCGGAACCTGCAGGTTCTTCTTCGAGAACGTCAGCCCGCAGTCGCTGACATACTGTTGGCTGTCTCTGGTGAGCTGGCCTCTTGTACGCTTGAAAACACGCTCGTACTGAACTCCGCTACTCACCTCACAGGCACAAGTCGCCTCTGCGGCGGGTAGTACCTGTTTGCCGCCCACTCAACCTATTTCGTCCGAAGGTCTCTGCATCCCGAGTGACGGGCTCTGGGAAGTCGGGTACGTGCTCGTTGTCGACACTGAGCCCTGGTGTGCTCCAGCTCATCTTGTTCATCGCAGGGTGGCCCACTCTTGAGAGACGCGAATGGAGGTGCATCTCTCGCACACAAAGTAGGAAGTGACATGATTGATAACAGCAGGGACTCGAATCATGGTCTGCACAGACAACGTGAGCCTAAGATAGTCATGCGTTAGTCTGGTGTGTACGGCTGCCACAGATTGATAGAGTGAGACAATCATCCTTACTATGTCGTAATTTATCTTCATCGCTGCCTTTCCGCGTCATTCTCCTCATCCTCACCGTCGCCCTTCATCGCGGTCTCGGTAACGTCTTCAGGCGGTACGTGACCCATGTCCCAAGCTTTCTTGATACGCTCCTGGTCCTCGTCGTCGAGGTCCTCGAAGCCATCAAGCTCGTCGGCGTCGTTGAGCGACTTCTTGGCGTTGGTCAGGATGCGAGCGGTAACGCATCGCCAATGGCGCCATTGGCTGTGTGATTGGACATATAGTTAGCCAAACCACCTTCAGGCCATCGGGGCGGCTCCTGCGATATATATGCTGGTGCATACACTCGCGCATCGCGAAGAATCCATGAAGCCAGTGATTCTGAAGGGAGGATAGACTCACAAGCACGTGATTCCTTTGATATTCACCAAGGACCCAAACCTCAACTCGCCCCTCTCGATCGTGGTGCCCTTGCATCTGGAGGAACGTAGGTATCGAAAAATCACCGAGAGAACCAGAGAGATACGCACGGCGTGGGGCCTGTGACGCGACAGCGACGCGTGAAACGCGGTGAGAACCGGGGCACGCGCTGGGCGCAACGGGAGGAATTAATGTTGGCTCACCTGAACACTTCGAGCGTCCGCTCCTGGCGTATTCGAGGCGGTAGCCAGACTTCGTGCCACCTTGTTCGTCAAACATAGGGCTGAGGTGTGTGCGGGTGTGTGTGTAAGTGGAGGGCGGCGGGGAAATGGGAGAGGGTTGATGCTGGGAGAGGCTTAAGAAACTCGAGACGCTTCCACTTCGCCTTCTCATTCCTTCCTCCTGACCAATGCCGTTATTAGGACCTTGTGACAAGCCTCGGAAGCCCGGACTGTGGCACGAGTCCGCGCCCGTAGTGCATCTGGCATCGTCTATCGTAATGGTCTCGAGACGAGATCCTTCACATGGTCACGGAAGTGTCTCACGGAGAACCCGGGTCTAGTGGCAGGAGCAGCTACAGCCGCATCCATGCATTTTGGAGGGCGCTGGCCTACGTGTCCGTCCCAATATTTCCACCCTTGAGCTCCACCAACAGGGTCCGGAAGCTGACTCTCATCCCGCACCGAAGATGATGCACCTATGGACGAGTTCGAGGCGGCGATTTTGTCGTGCATGCTGACCGTCTTCTCTGAGCCCGAGAAGCCGTTTGAGGAGGTGTGGCTGGGGGTAATATGCACGCGGAGGGAGTATAGAGCACGTCCGTTATGGTCAGGGTCTACCAACGCGCGGAACTGCAAGTTGAGCGTCTCGAACACGAGCATGACGGTCCACCGCCCGAGGTCGAACCGTTTTGAGTATTGCTCCCAATCCGATACGTGCTCGGAGGCGCAGTCTGAGTCGCCAGGCGCAGCAAGTGTCATGGTGCTCCGTGTCTTTGCATCTCGGAGGAAGACCGATGCATGGATGTATGGGAAAGCTGTAAGTGTGTGCGTTGAGTACGGGTTGGAGCTGAGTCACATTTTGCATATACGAACCGGTATTCGAAGAGCAAGGGGCAAGTGCCACAACGATGACCTCTCCGGACGCCGCATGAGCCAGATGTAACTCCTGGGGTTCGCAACGCGCAGCCTCAAAGAAGAGTGACAACTCTCCGGGATCAGAGGCGACCAGTGTGAATCCGGTCTCCCTGGATAGCTTCTCGACATGCCAGGCAGGAATGACGAGCTCGCATGGAGCCGTGATGATGCCAGACCACCGCCTCTTCTCCCTCGCAGGCTTCTGAGCGTCGTGGGCGTAGTCGAAGTTGAGCGTGTCCAGACGGTGAGGTATGTGCACCTCCCGAATCTTCGCCGAGGAGGAACTCCATGGGAATCTCCTCCCGGGAGCTACATCAAGCGAGACTGTCCGATAGTCGTCGCAGTGGATAGCGGCTGTGTGGAGCTGTTGAGCGACGAAGACGGAAACACCGACGAAGAAGCGGTCCTCCGTTTCCTCCGTTTGCGGTTGCAAAATCAGAGTAACGATGTTCCCCGCGCCGTCCGCGCAGGCAAGAGCAGCCAACCACACGGGCTTGTCCGAGGGGCTCCCGGGAGCCTTCATCATCGGAATCCGGGCGTGCATCCCGTAGCTTGTGAGGGTGAAGTGGAGAGGCGGGACCTTGATTCCCAGTCGCTTCGACACGGTCTCTGGTGGTACCGGCACAATCTCAGAGGAGCTAGCGAACGAGTCCGGGGAGAGGCCGAGCAGAGCTCGGAGGTGCCGCTGCCCCGGAGAGGCTACTGTCCGCGAGAAGGCGCTGGTGTCTCGGAGCATCGGAGGACCCCATGCGAAGATGCTCTGGTCAGGGATCTGTTTCATGATCTCCTCTTGTAGACGGATGAAGGCATTGTCGCCCTCCCCGTATACCGTGGCAATGCTGACGTTGAAGATACCAAGGAGGGAGTATGCACGGTCTTCTTCCCGCGTTGTCTGGCGATTCGCCGCCCAAGACATGCGCCGGGCAACGCTGACCCTCGCGTGCGTCCGCCTGAAGGTGAGAACGTCGAAGTCGACGTTCGTAATCTCCTCGACTAGATCGGCCAGGCTCCTCTTTGTTCCGATGACGCGCCAGTTCTTCGAGACAAAGACCAAGCGACGCGGAGCGATGAGTTCCTGCAGTGTCCAGCCCCGAGTGTACCACCTGCTCTTGCGGAACCGAGAGTCCTTCGTGTATGGGTCCTCCGTCTCGTCAACGTCCTGAAGGAACGCGATGCATTCATCAGCTTCGCGGTACCACAGAAACATGGAGTTGATCGCCTCTGATAGCTCGGCGCTGCTTGTCTTGTCGATACAGCATGTATCGATCCACGCCCAGTTGTATCCTCGTCGTCTTGCGAAGGCGCAGCAATCGCGTATCTTCGTGGAAGCGGCAGACAGTCCGCCGGCGATCTTCAACGCCTGTACGTCCTGGAAGGTTTGTTCCTCGGCTGTCCACACATGGGACAATATCATATAACCTTCTTGTGGTATTTTAGCGAACCACTTAAGCTCCCCAGATGCAGTGTTTAGTAGCCACATCGCTGAATGATCGCACAGTGCTATCAGCAGACCCTCGACGTTAGACCACGAGGCAACCTGAGATGAGTACATACCAGTGTAACAGTCTGATCATACAGCATGAGTTACAGATGCTGCCGCTCGAGTTTCCAGAATCGAATGTTAAGGTACAGTAGCAGG